GGGGCCCGCCCAGCCCCGCCCGGCTGGCCCCCCGCGCCCGGTCCGGGCTACGGCGCGCCCTACGCGGTGAGGGGCTCGCGGGACTCGGGGGGGCGCATGGCGGAAGGGCCCCGGGCGCCTCTCTGACCGGCCTCTCCCCCCGCAGGGCTACTACGGCGGGGGCTACTACCCGGAGAGCGACCCGGGCTTGGGGCCGCCCCCCGAGGGCAGCGCGGACGCCGCCCCCTCCTCCTTCATGGACGACGAAGCGGTGAGCCTCGGGACCCCCCCCCCCGTCCCGCGGAGCCCCGTGCGGGCGCTTCCCCACCCTGGGATGCCCGGAGCCTCGCTGGCCCTCTTGCTGGGGGAGGGGTCTGCGGGGCCTTCCGAGAGCCTTCCCCGACCCCCGTGTCCCTTTCCCGCCCCTTCCCCGCGCAGTTCAAGCGTCTGCAAGGCAAGCGCAACCGGGGGCGAGAAGAGATCAACTTCGTGGAGATCAAGGGCGACGACCAGCTGAGCGGAGTCCAGCAGTGGCTCACCAAGTCCCTGACCGAGGAGCAGAATATGAAGTCCTTCAGCAAGGTCTGCCGGGCTGCCCCCTCCCCGGTGGGGGCCCCTGAGAAGCAGGAGGGGTTGGGGGTCTTCATGGGCCAAGGCCCCTGAGTTTCCCATTTCCCTTCAGAAAAAGGGGGAGCAGCCCACAGGGCAGCAGCGAAGGAAGCACCAGATCACCTACCTGATCCACCAGGTGAGGCCTTTGTTTGTTCAGCAGTCCCCCCCTCCACAGTGCTTGGCTCGCTGCCTCCACGGTGGGCATTTTCGCTGACCCCCCTCTACCTCTCTGCCCCCAGGCGAAAGAGCGGGAGCTGGAGCTGAAGAACAGCTGGGCGGAGAACAAGCTGAGCCGGCGCCAGACCCAGGCCAAGTACGGATTTTAGCCCCTTCCCAGCCCAGGAGGGCCGTGCTGGATTCCGAGCAGGACGGCCAGCCCGGGATCCTGTTCTGCAAGGCAGCAGCCGATGGGTGGGCTGCCGTGGAAGCCGCTGGAGGCCCTGCAGCCAGGCACGTGGCAACATGGGCCCCCGGAGGGCAGAGGGTCCATTGTCTGCTTGAGTTGGGGGGCTCTCGCCCCCTTGATTCACGAGACGTCTTGATTTCCCTCTAGCCACCTTTCTTTCAAGTAGCCACCAAGGCAGGGGGGGAGCCCTGTCTGGACTGGGGATGGCTGCCCACCCCACCTCACCCCACCCCACTCTACCCCTGAGAACATCCTACCTGGAGGGCAGGGGACTGTTCTGGTTAACTCTGGATGTCTTGCTCGGCTATGGGGCTGCTTCCCCCTCTCCTCCCCTTAGCATACATGGATGTTTCTGTTCCTGACTGTGTCTTGGTCCTGGCCCAAGGCAAGGTCTTGTTTTCCTGAATTGGCAATGCTCCACACACACCCCTCCCCATCCCCGGTTTTAGTTTGCTAATTGTCCTCAGAGTCTCCCTGTTACCTGGAGTTTCAATACCAGAGACTGGAGGTTTCTGTCTCCTCTTCTCCTCCCCCCCCCCCCCGCAGAGGTGAGCCCTCTTGCCAAGTCTGCGACTGTCCAGAAGACCCACCTTTTCAGATTTTTTTTTTCATAGCTAAGCTGAGTTTGGTGTTCTTAGACCAGTCCTTTAAAAGGGGAGCAGTTTTCACATAATGGACCTTCTCAGATGCAGACAGAGCAAACTCGGGGGGGGTGTGGTGTTGGAGGGGGGCAGGACAATGGTGTCTTATGTGCCCCCCCCCGCACTTTCTCAGTAAGCCTTGCCCCTCATGGTTGCCCCTGAAGTCCCAAGCCGACTCTGTTACACCCTCCCTCCCTCCCTCCGTCTCCCTTCCTCCTTTCCCTTGCTTTTGGCGGTCTTTCTTTGCTTGACCTCCTCTTCAGATTGTAGCCGTTTCCCCCGTTCAGCAGACAGACGTCCATCTTTGCGGCAGAGTATCTGTATTTAGGGGGGGGGTGGTTTTTTTCTAAAAAAGACCTTGGTTTATTTCCCTGGACACTTTAGTACTTAGGAAGGCTCCCTGTCCCTATTTTGAATATTTGAAAATAAAAGTCATTCAGTAATGGATTTGTTTTTCCCCTTTTTGAATTTCTCTGGGGTGGGGAAAAAAAAAGGGTTACAGGGGAATAAAAATTAAATTGAGAGAGTGGGCCACGAGGGTGAGATGGCTGGCGAGGGCTGCACTTTTTGAGAAAGGGGGGGAGGGGACTGTTTTGTGGGGAGGGTGGCTCGTGTCTTGGCAATTGTGCTGGAACATCCCCCTCCCCATTTCTGCAAAGCAGGCACTTCTTAAGCCAGGGGGGGATCCTGCTAAGGCAGTGTTTCTCAACTTTGGCGAGTTTAAGATGTGCGGACTTCAAGTCCCAGAATTCCTCAGCCAATATTGCTGGCTGGGGAATTCTGGGAGTTGAGGTCCACAAATTCTAAAGTCACCAAGGTTGAGAAACACGGCGCTAAGGGAAAGGACATGCCCCCTTTTGGCTCCAGCTGCCCTCAGGATGCTTTCCCCTCCCTAGTGGGAGTCCGGAGCCCAGAGTACTCCCCTGATGAGCCTTCTCCCCCCCCCCCCCCCCCCCCCCCCCCCCCCCCCCCCCCCCCCCCCCGTCCCTGGGCTGCATGTGCCCCAGGGGACTCGGCTTTTGGGGCACAGCTCTCATCCTGCCTAGAGTATCAGTGAAAGACAAAAGGGCTTTAAACCCATCAGTGACCCAGCTCTGCTCCTCTTCGGCTAGGCTTCCAGCTCTCCAGATCCTGGAGAAAGATGTTGAGCTGCAGATGGGGCATCAGCGTTCCCCAGGGAGGCAGCTGGGGGGGGGGTAGAAGGAGCTCGAGCCCCCCCCCTCCTGGCGGAGAAAAAGGAGGGCCTGGGGCAAAGTGCTGGGCCTTTCTTGTGCCCCCCCCCCCGGCAGCGCTGCTGCCTGTCGCCCTGCGGAGAGCTCGGTTCCCAAGCCCCCGGGGCGCCCCACGCAGAGCCGCTCCTCCTCCAGGAGGGTCTGGCACGCAGCGCAAAGGGGCTGAGCCGGCCTGCGGGGGGCGCGCTGTCCCTGCGCGGGGGCGGCTTCCAGCGCACTTCGGCGAGGAAGCGGCGGCGGGCGCTCCGGGTCGCGCTCCCTCCGGTGCCTGAATCGTAGGTACCCCGGGGGTGGTGATGGTGGTGCTGAAGGGGCGGACGCGTTCAGGCTCGCTGGATATCTGGGTGCGGGGTCTGATTCTCGGGGCGGTGGAGGTGGGGGGGGGGGAAGAGCCAGGCCGAGCCAAAGGAGGACCCGAAGTTACTTGGAAGTAAAGCCCTTCCGCGAAACCGTTAGGGCTTCCCAGAAATCGGGGCCCCGACACGGGAGAGAGAAGGCAAGATCCACCTGTAGCTACCTGGCCGCGCTCAGGGCTCCCTGCCTTGGAAATGGGAATCGCCCCCCCTCTCTGAATTGGGGGAGACTGGAGGATTTCTGCGTTTCTCTCGGGAGAAGCAGCAGCAGCAGCATCGTCCCATCTGACTCAAGTCGCAAAACATGCTGGCAGATTTGTTTTCGTTCCCCCCCCCCCCCCGACGGGCGTCTTGTACCCTGAGAGCGGGTGGGCTGTGCCGGGAGAAGATCACACCACAAAAACACAATATGCTTGTTTGCGGGAGCGGAGGACAGGAAGGAGAAGGGGGGGCTGCGATTTGTCCTGGTGGGGGGGGTCGGTTGCTGAGCGCCCCTTCCCCAAGCCTGACCGCGGAGCCGGCCGGGCCTTTGGGCGCGCCTGCCTTGCCCGCGTGCCAAAATCCCCCGTATTTACGAAATTCCTGGCCTGCACGAAAAGATTGGAAGAGGGTCAAGAATCCAGGAATTGCAACACATTTTGTCCATTTAAGCGCCGGCTCTTCCCTCGCCTTAAATGAGGCTTTTGTTCTCCCGGGCTGGATGGAGCCTGGAGGTCGACCTCGGGAGGAACAAGGTGCCAGATTCCAGGGGGCAAAGCAGCCCCCCGTCCCGCCGGGAAAGGAATGCGGCCTGGCTGGAGGGTTGGGTAGGGGGGCTCCTTCTGCCCTGGAGGGCGCCTGTCTCTTTCCCTCCGCCCTGGAGGGCGCCTGTCTGTTTGGGGACCGCTCTCCCTCCCCCTCGGTCCCCCTGCGACGTTCCCTGGAGATCCTCCGAGTCTGCTCGGCTTTTCAAAGGGCACCATCCATCACCAGGCGCCTCTTATCGGCTGCCCCAAGAGGCTCCTCCGGTCCGCCTCGCTCTTTCCGAGGCCGGAAGGTGGGACTTCCCCCTCCTTCTGCCGGGCCGTTCCCACACTCCCGTCAGCCTCCGGAGACGCGGCAGCCCTGCAGCTCTGCCAGCCCCTCGCCCGCTGCCCTGCCTCTGCCAAGCGGGGCAGGCCTGATGGGCAGGAGGGGGGGCGGCCAGGGCGCCCTCCTTGCCTGGTCCCAAGGCGTTTTCGGTCAGTGGGAAGGGGAGGGAATCGGGGCCACGGGAAGGGAGACTCTGTTGTGGATCCCCGCGGCCTCCAGGCACCTGCCTTCCCGGCCTGGCTGGCTTTGCGTTTCTTGAGCCACCTGCGCCCCCCCCCCCACCTCCCCAGCAAAGCTTGGCTGACTGCAGCCCCGGAGGCGAGCGAGAAGGGGAAGCGGCTGCTGAGAAGCGAGGGGGTGGGGGAGAAAAAGGCTGCGGAGGCGCTCAGGCACGCAAGCGGCTGCCTTCGGAGCAGGGCGCGGCCGGCCAGTCCTCCCCGACCGCCTTTCCTGGAGCGTTCGGGGGCCGCTGCTTCCGCACGGCCGGGGCTGGCTGAGCAATTCTGCAAGCGGAGAGGCTGGACCGGCGCGAGGGAGCCCATGGCCGCGGCGACTGGGAATTGAGGTCCCCGGTAAGTGGGGTAAGTGGGGTGGGGGCCCCGCTCCTTCGGAGCACCCGAAGGCGCCTGCTGGACCGGCCCTCCCGCTCCTACGGGCCTGCGGGGGGGGGGGGCTCCGGGGACCTCCAGCCAAACTCCCGGCTCTGCCGTTTGGGCAGGTGCGCTGCGCAGCTCCGTCGCCCTCCCGCGGGGCGGCGAGGCTCCACACACCAGGAAGCAGAGGCGGTTGATTGCCCGCCCCCGGCGGGAGGGGGGAGCCGTCGCAGCCGCTGGCCGGAGGGTCCCTCTCCGGGGGGCTGAGAGAGGAGGGGGAGGAGACTCCCGCGTGGGGTAAGGGGCTCGGGGTGGGGGCTTTGCCGCAAGAGCCGGCTTGGCATGGAAGATCCGCCGCACGAACCGGAGGAGGGAGCCCTCCTCCTCCTCCTCCTCCTCCTCCCCGGGGTTGGCGTCCAGCGGGGCGGGCCCGGGATGAGGGGTGCGGAAGGACCCCCTTTGCTTCACTCCTCCCTTAAGGGGTCCTGAGCGCAGGGGCGGCAATGCCTCTCTCCGGTTTTGGGAACCGTCCGGCAGCCTGACGTGACGCCGGGATGCGTTAGATCATGTAAAAGGCCCCCCCCTTCCCATTTGGATGGTGCGGAGGGGGGGGCGCGAGAGGCAGAAGAGCCCGCCTGTTGCTTGCAAAGACCGAGCCTTTCTGCCTTGCTTCCCCCCCCAGCAGCTGATGGCGAGGGATGGAACCGAAGTGCGCCCTGGCAACGCGGTGGCTGCAGGGATCCAGGTGAGGGGGGAACCGGGCCCAGGCCTCCCCTCCCCTCCCGCGCTGCTGCCTCCGTGCCTGCAGGTTGCCCAAGGTGTCTGGGACAGGGTGGAGGAAATAGGAGCCCTCCCCCCCAATCAGGAAGGGGCCGGGACCTCCTTTCCCGATACAGAAACCGGTTGGATTCAAAAGACAGATTTTGTGAACCGCAGAGCTGCGTAGAATGGCTGGAGGGACCGATATTGGAGGGAGGGAAAGGGCTCACAAGTCCCCTTCCACAGAGCCCCCCCACAGGGCTCAGCTGACCCCCCCCCTTGTCCCTTCCTGGGAGCCCTCTGTCCACACAGGCCACCCTGGCACCCCAGCCCTTCTCCTCTCATAGCTCAGGCAGTGGCCTCGGACACTTCAAGTGGGCCTCTTTGCCGCTCAGCACCCCGTTTCCTGCTGCTTCAGGGCCCCCCGTGCAGCCTGGAAGACGATGAGGTTTTCCTGGGCACCGAGGCCAGGCTCGGCACCACCCAAGCGGATCCCTTCCGCCACTGCAGCGTGGAGGAACTTTACGAGCTTCTGGAGACGCTGGGCAGGTGAGGCCTGCAGGGCGTGGAGACTGGAGAAACCTGCTCTGCCTACTCCTCCTCCTCCTCCTCCTCCTCCCCTCCATGGCTAGGAGGAAGGCAAGCAGCCAAAGGGGGGCCTTTGACTCCCCAAGGCTGTTGGGCATCTCCTGGGCCTCGTCACCCACCTTGGCTGCACCTGCCGATGGCTCAGAACAGCAGAGGCTCCTCCGCGGAGTGCCTGGCTTCTCGCCCCTCGCCCTACGTCCTTCCCGCCCTCTCCCCCTTGCAGCGGGCACTTTGGGGTGGTCCGGCGTTGCCAGGAACGGAGCACCGGCGCTTTCTACGCGGCCAAATCCATCAAGGTGCGGAAGCGCAAGGGCAGCCGGCTGGGCCTGGACCGCGAGCAGGTGGAGCGCGAGGTCTGCATCCTGCAGCAGCTTCAGCACCCCAACATTATGCGCCTCTACGACATCTTTGCCAACCAGGCCGAGATGGTGCTGATCCTCGAGCTGTGAGTGCCAGGGAGGAGGGCCCTTCTTTGGGGGGGTCTTCAGGTGCTTGAGAAGCCCCTCACCCCCACATCCCCCCCTGGCCTCCCCACAGCATCCAGGGCGGCGAACTCTTTGACTTCATTGCGGAGAAGGAGCTGGTCTCGGAGGACGAAGCCATTCAGTTCCTGCAGCAGATCCTGCTCGGCTTGGCCTACATGCACGCCCACCATATTGCCCACTTCGACCTCAAGGTACTGCCGGGGGGGGCTTCTGGGGTGCCCCATGCCGGCACCTGGTTGGGCAGAGGCTGAGTGCCAACCCCACCGCTCCCCCGTCTCTCCCGCAGCCGGAGAACATCATGCTGCTTGAGAAGGACACCCCCAGCCCCAAGATCAAGATCATCGACTTCGGGCTGGCGCAGAAGCTGGAGGAGGGGGTGGCCTACAAAAGTCTCTGCGGGACCCCCCAGTACATCGGTACGGCTTTGGGCCCACAGAACAGGGAGGCTGAGGAACGGTCCCGAAGCCCCACTTGCGTAGCAGCCAAGCCCTTGCGTGGGGAAGGTGACCCCCCCACCTTGGCAGGGAAACCCTGTCTCTGGGGAAAGCAGGAGCCCCCCTAATACGCCTGAAAACTTTCTCCCGCCATGAGGGAATCAGGATTTTGGCAGCTGTGGGGGTGGGTGGTGGAGCCCCAGTGGAGGTTTTGGGGTGCCAGGCTGGGCCTCCTACTTCCTCCCCTTAATTTCTTTCTCCCCAGCTCCTGAAGTGATCAACTACGAGGCCCTGAGCACAGCCACAGACATGTGGTAAGAGGCAGCCAAGGGCTGGGGGGGGAGGCCGGAGGGGGGTTTGGTGGCATCCTGCAGGCCTTGGATAAGCACCGTGGGGAGAGGAGAGTCAGGAAGTGGTTGCAGGCGGTTTCTTTCTCAGCTGCAGCTGCCAAGAGGAAAGCCTTTGTGCCCTTTCTTGTAAAGGAGAGAGGGACTGGGGGGGGGGGTGGTGTCTTTGTTCCACCCCTCCCTGTGTGGACGTTGACAAGGTCGCCAAGGTCACTGCGGACAGAAATGACGTCTGGCCAAGGAGATTCTTTGCTCTGCCTTCAGCTCTCCCTTTTTCTTACTCCTAGGAGCATCGGGGTGATTACCTACATCTTGTAAGTACCTGCAGTTCTTTTTCCTGGGGGGGGTTGCTGGGGGGGTGTCTCTCAGCAGACTCCCAGGGGGATGGAGTTGACTTTGGGGGCAGGCAAAGACAGCCACAGCTTCCGAGGAAACTTTGCTGGAATTTTCCCAGTTTTTTAAAAAGGAAATGGAAGCAAGCCGGTAAGTCTAAAGTTGGGGATCAGATCCCCCCCAAAACAGCCCCCTCCCCTGCCTTCCCTTTTGAACCCATCTCTTGACTCCTATCCGTGGGGCTCCTTCTGACTGGAGCCAGGCTGAGGATGGATCTCTGGTCCAGCCTGGTGGGCTCTGATGCGCCCCCAAACCCTCCTCCTCCCCCAGGCTGAGCGGCATGTCCCCATTCCAGGGGGAGACGGATGAGGAGACCCTCTCCAACGTGGTCTCCGGGAATTACGAGTTCGAGGCCAAGTATTTCAGCCAAACCTCGGAGATGGCCAAGGACTTCATCCAGAAACTGCTGCTGAAGGAGCCCAGGTAGCCTCCAGCCCAGGTGCTGGTGCCCCCCACCCCAGTGACTGAAATGGGGGCGATGCCCTCCTGCCCTGTCCGGAAAAGAGAGGGGGGGGAGGAGCTCCCGGGTGGTGGGGAATGTGCTTCCTTGAGCAGAAAATAAGGACCACAAAACTAAAAGTGGGGAGCAGCACATACTGGCAGGACGGGGGATCCCCCAAATGGGGGTCTCTCCTCCTCTCCTGCCTCCCTTCTGCCCACAGAGAGGAAAATGGATTTTGGTCTGTGTTTCAGGGACCGAATGACGGCAGCTGAATGTCTCCTTCATCCCTGGATCAAGGTAAGCCTCCCTCCCTTCCTTCCTTCCTTCCTTCTTTCCTTCCTCCCTCCCTCCCTTCTTTCCTTCCTTCCTTCCATCCTTCCTCCCTCCCTCCCTTCTTTCCTACCTTCCTTCCTTCCTTCTTTCCTTCCTTCCTTCCTTCCTTCTTTCCTTCCTCCCTCACTCCCTTCCATCCTTNCCCACCCACCCACCCCGTCCCTGGGCTGCATGTGCCCCAGGGGACTCGGCTCTTGGGGCACAGCTCTCATCCTGCCTAGAGTATCAGTGGAAGACAAAAGGGCTTTAAGCCCATCAGTGGTCCAACTCTGCTCCTCTTCGGTGAGGCTTCCAGCTCTCCAGGTCCTGGAGAAAGATGCTGAGCTGGAGATGGGGCATCAGCGTTCCCCAGGGAGGCAGCTGGGGGAGGGGTAGAAGGAGCTCGAGGCCCCCCCTCCCGGCGGAGAAAAAGGAGGGCCTGGGGCAAAGTGCTGGGCCTTTCTTGTGCCCCCCCCCCCCGGCAGCGCTGCTGCCTGTCGCCCTGCGGAGAGCTCGGTTCCCAAGCCCCCGGGGCGCCCCACGCAGAGCCGCTCCTCCTCCAGGAGGGTCTGGCACGCAGCGCAAAGGGGCTGAGCCGGCCTGCGGGGGGCGCGCTGTCCCTGCGCGGGGGCGGCTTCCAGCGCACTTCGGCGAGCAAGCGGCGGCGGGCGCTCCGGGTCGCGCTCCCTCCGGTGCCTGAATCGTAGGTACCCCGGGGGTGGTGATGGTGGTGCTGAAGGGGCGGACGCGTTCAGGCTCGCTGGATATCTGGGTGCGGGGTCTGATTCTCGGGGCGGTGGAGGTGGGGGGGGGGAAGAGCCAGGCCGAGCCAAAGGAGGAACCGAAGTTACTTGGAAGTAAAGCCCTTCCGCGAAACCGTTAGGGCTTCCCAGAAATCGGGGCCCCGACACGGGAGAGAGAAGGCAAGATCCACCTGTAGCTACCTGGCCGCGCTCAGGGCTCCCTGCCTTGGAAATGGGAATTCCCCCCCCCCTCTCTGAACCGGGGGGGGGGATAGTGGAGGATTTCTGCGTTTCTCTCGGGAGAAGCAGCAGCAGCAGCCTCGTCCCATCTGACTCAAGTCGCAAAACATGCTGCCAGATTTGTTTTCGTCCCCCCCCCCCGACGGGCGTCTTGTACCCTGAGAGCGGGTGGGCTGTGCCGGGAGAAGATCACACCACAAAAACACAATATGCTTGTTTGCGGGAGCGGAGGACAGGAAGGAGAAGGGGGGGGGGCTGCGATTTGTCCTGGTGGGGGGGGTCGGTTGCTGAGCGCCCCTTCCCCAAGCCTGACCGCGGAGCCGGCCGGGCCTTTGGGCGCGCCTGCCTTGCCCGCGTGCCAAAATCCCCCGTATTTACGAAATTCCTGGCCTGCACGCACGAAAAGATTGGAAGAGGGTCAAGAATCCAGGAATTGCAACACATTTTGTCCATTTAAGCGCCGGCTCTTCCCTCGCCTTAAATGAGGCTTTTGTTCTCCCGGGCTGGATGGAGCCTGGAGGTCGACCTCGGGAGGAACAAGGTGCCAGATTCCAGGGGGCAAAGCAGCCCCCCGTCCCGCCGGGAAAGGAATGCGGCCTGGCTGGAGGGTTGGGTAGGGGGGCTCCTTCTGCCCTGGAGGGCGCCTGTTTCTTTTCCTCCGCCCTGGAGGGCGCCTGTCTCTTTGGGGACCGCTCTCCCTCCCCCTCGGTCCCCCTGCGACGTTCCCTGGAGATCCTCCGAGTCTGCTCGGCTTTTCAAAGGGCATCATCCATCACCAGGCGCCTCTTATCGGCTGCCCCAAGAGGCTCCTCCGGTCCGCCTCGCTCTTTCCGAGGCCGGAAGGTGGGACTTCCCCCTCCTTCTGCCGGGCCGTTCCCACACTCCCGTCAGCCTCCGGAGACGCGGCAGCCCTGCAGCTCTGCCAGCCCCTCGCCCGCTGCCCTGCCTCTGCCAAGCGGGGCAGGCCTGATGGGCAGGAGGGGGGGCGGCCAGGGCGCCCTCCTTGCCTGGTCCAAAGGCGTTTTCGGTCAGTGGGAAGGGGAGGGAATCGGGGCCACGGGAAGGGAGACCCTGTTGTGGATCCCCGCGGCCTCCAGGCACCTGCCTTCCCGGCCTGGCTGGCTTTGCGTTTCTTGAGCCACCTGCGCCCCCCCTCCACACCTCCCCAGCAAAGCTTGGCTGACTGCAGCCCCGGAGGCGAGCGAGAAGGGGAAGCGGCTGCTGAGCAGGGGGGGGGGAAGAGGCTGCGGAGGCGCTCAGGCACGCAAGCGGCTGCCTTCGGGGCAGGGCGCGGCCGGCCAGTCCTCCCGACCGCCTTTCCTGGAGCCGTTCGGGGGCCGCTGCTTCCGCACGGCCGGGGCTGGCTGAGCAATTCTGCAAGCGGAGAGGCTGGACCGGCGCGAGGGAGCCCATGGCCGCGGCGACTGGGAATTGAGGTCCCCGGTAAGTGGGGAGGGGGGGGAGCCCCGCTCCTTCGGAGCACCCGAAGGCGCCTGCTGGACCGGCCCTCCCGCTCCTACGGGCCTGCGGGGGGGCTCCGGGGACCTCCAGCCAAACTCCCGGCTCTGCCGTTTGGGCAGGTGCGCTGCGCAGCTCCGTCGCCCTCCCGCGGGGCGGCGAGGCTCCACACACCAGGAAGCAGAGGCGGTTGATTGCCCGCCCCCGGCGGGAGGGGGGAGCCGTCGCAGCCGCTGGCCGGAGGGTCCCTCTCCGGGGGGCTGAGAGAGGAGGGGGAGGAGACTCCCGCGTGGGGTAAGGGGCTCGGGGTGGGGGCTTTGCCCCAAGAGCCGGCTTGGCATGGAAGATCCGCCGCACGAACCGGAGGAGGGAGCCCTCCTTCTCCCCGGGGTTGGCGTCCAGCGGGGCGGGCCCGGGATGAGGGGTGCGGAAGGACCCCCTTTGCTTCACTCCTCCCTTAAGGGGTCCTGAGCGCAGGGGCGGCAATGCCTCTCTCCGGTTTGGGGACCCGTCCGGCAGCCTGACGTGACGCCGGGATGCGTTAGATCATGTAAAAAGCCCCCCCCTTCCCATTTGGATGGTGCGGAGTGGGGGGGGGGGCGCGAGAGGCAGAAGAGCCCGCCTGTTGCTTGCAAAGACCGAGCCTTTCTGCCTTGCTTTCCCCCCCCAGCAGCTGATGGCGAGGGATGGAACCGAAGTGCGCCCTGGCAACTCGGTGGCTGCAGGGATCCAGGTGAGGGGGGAACCGGGCCTCCCCTCCCCTCCCGTCCTGCGCTGCTGCCTCCGTGCCTGCAGGTTGCCCAAGGTGTCTGGGACAGGGTGGAGGAAATAGGAGCCCTCCCCCCCAATCAGGAAGGGGCCGGGACCCCCTTTCCCGATACAGAAACCGGTTGGATTCAAAAGACACATTTTATGAACTGCAGAGCTGCGTAGAATGGCTGGAGGGACCGAAATTGGAGGGAGGGAAAGGGCTCACAAGTCCCCTTCCACAGACCCCCTCCCCAGGGCTCAGCTGCCCCCCCTTGTCCCTTCCTGGGAGCCCTCTGTCCACACGGGCCCACCCTGGCACCCCAGCCCTTCTCCTCTCATAGCTCAGGCAGTGGCCTCGGACACTTCAAGTGGGCCTCTTTGCCGCTCAGCACCCCGTTTCCTGCTGCTTCAGGGCCCCCCGTGCAGCCTGGAAGACGATGAGGTTTTCCTGGGCACCGAGGCCAGGCTCGGCACCACCCAAGCGGATCCCTTCCGCCACTGCAGCGTGGAGGAACTTTACGAGCTGCTGGAGACGCTGGGCAGGTGAGGCCTGCAGGGCGTGGAGACTGGAGAAACCTGCTCTGCCTCCTCCCCCTCCTCCTCCTCCTCCCCTCCATGGCTAGGAGGAAGGCAAGCAGGCAAAGGGGGGCCTTTGACTCCCCAAGGCTGTTGGGCATCTCCCGGGCCTCGTCACCCACCTTGGCTGCACCTGCCGATGGCTCAGAACAGCAGAGGCTCCTCCGCGGAGTGCCTGGCTTCTCACCCCTTGCCCTACGTCCTTTCCGCCCTCTCCCCCTTGCAGCGGGCACTTTGGGGTGGTCCGGCGTTGCCAGGAACGGAGCACCGGCGCTTTCTACGCAGCCAAATCCATCAAGGTGCGGAAGCGCAAGGGCAGCCGTCTGGGGCTGGACCGCGAGCAGGTGGAGCGCGAGGTCTGCATCCTGCAGCAGCTTCAACACCCCAACATTATGCGCCTCTACGACATCTTTGCCAACCAGGCCGAGATGGTGCTGATCCTCGAGCTGTGAGTGCCCGGGAGGAGGGCCCTTCCCAGGGGGAGGGGGCTTCAGGTGCTTGAGAAGCCCCTCACCCCCACATCCCCCCCCCGGTTTCCCCACAGCATCCAGGGCGGCGAACTCTTTGACTTTATTGCGGAAAAGGAGCTGGTCTCGGAGGACGAAGCCATTCAGTTCCTGCAGCAGATCCTGCTCGGCTTGGCCTACATGCACGCCCACCATATTGCCCACTTCGACCTCAAGGTACTGCCGGGGCGGGGCTTCTGGGGTGCCCCATGCCGCGCCTGGTTGGGCAGAGGCTGAGCGCCAACCCCACCGCTCCCCCGTCTCTCCCGCAGCCGGAGAACATCATGCTGCTTGAGAAGGACACCCCCAGCCCCAAAATCAAGATCATCGACTTTGGGCTGGCGCAGAAGCTGGAGGAGGGGGTGGCCTACAAAAGTCTCTGCGGGACCCCCCAGTACATCGGTACGGCTTTGGGCCCACAGAACAGGGAGGCTGAGGAACGGTCCCAAAGCCCCACTTGCGTAGCAGCCAAGCCCTTGCGTGGGGAAGGTGACCCCTCCCACCTTGGCAAGGAAACCCTGTCTCTGGGGAAAGCAGGAGCCCCCCTAATACGCCTGAAAACTTTCTCCTGCCATGAGGGAATCACGATTTTGGCATCTGGGGGGTGGTGGTGGAGCCCCAGTGGAGGTTTTGGGGTGCCAGGCTGGGCCTCCTACTTCCTCCCCTCAATTTCTTTCTCCCCAGCTCCTGAAGTGATCAACTACGAGGCCCTGAGCACAGCCACAGACATGTGGTAAGAGGCAGCCAAGGGCTGGGGGGGGAGGCCGGAGGGGGGTTTGGTGGCATCCTGCAGGCCTTGGATAAGCACCGTGGGGAGAGGAGAGTCAGGAAGTGGTTGCAGGCGGTTTCTTTCTCAGCTGCAGCTGCCAAGAGGAAAGCCTTTGTGCCCTTTCTTGTAAAGGAGAGAGGGACTGGGGGTGTGTGTGTCTTTGTTCCACCCCTCCCTGTGTGGACGTTGACAAGGTCGCCAAGGTCACTGCGGACAGAAATGACGTCTGGCCAAGGAGATTCTTTGCTCTGCCTTCAGCTCTCCCTTTTTCTTACTCCTAGGAGCATCGGGGTGATTACCTACATCTTGTAAGTACCTGCAGTTCTTTTTCCTGGGGGGGGGCTGCTGGGGGGGGGCTCTCAGCAGATTCCCAGGGAGATGGAGTTGACTTTGGGGGCAGGCAAAGACAGCCACAGCCTCCGAGGGGGCCGGCAAAGAAAACTTTGCAGGAATTTGCCCAGTTTTTTTTAAAAAGGAAATGGAAGCAAGCCGGTAAGACTAAAGTTGGGGATCAGATCCCCCCCCAAAACAGCCCCCTCCCCTGCCTTCCCTTTTGAGCCCATCTCTTGACTCCTATCCGTGGGGCTCCTTCTGACTGGAGCCAGGCTGAGGACGGATCTCTGGTCCAGCCTGGTGGGCTCTGATGCGCCCCCAAACCCTCCTCCTCCCCCCCCCAGGCTGAGCGGCATGTCCCCATTCCAGGGGGAGACGGATGAGGAGACCCTCTCCAACGTGGTCTCCGGGAATTACGAGTTCGAGGCCAAGTATTTCAGCCAAACCTCGGAGATGGCCAAGGACTTCATCCAGAAGCTGCTGCTGAAGGAGCCCAGGTAGCCTCCAGCCCAGGTGCTGGTGCCCCCCCACCCCAGTGACTGAAATGGGGGCGATGCCCTCCTGCCCTGTCCGGAAAAGAGAGGGGGGGGAGGAGCTCCCGGGTGGTGGGGAATGTGCTTCCTTGAGCAGAAAATAAGGACCACAAAACTAAAAGTGGGGAGCAGCACATAGTGGCAGGACGGGGGATCCCCCAAATGGGGGTCTCTCCTCCTCTCCTGCCTCCCTTCTGCCCACAGAGAGGAAAATGGATTTTGGTCTGTGTTTCAGGGACCGAATGATGGCAGCTGAATGTCTCCTTCATCCCTGGATCAAGGTAAGCCTCCCTCCCTCCCTCCCTCCCTCCCTCCCTTCCTTCCTTCCTTCCTTCCTTCCTTCCTTCCTTCCTTCCTTCCTTCCTTCCTTCCTTCTTTCTTTCCTTCTTTCCTTCCTTCCTTCCTTCGTTCCTTCCTCCCTCCCTCCCTTCCATCCTTATTCCCTCCCTCCCTCCCTTCTTTCCTTCCTTCCTTCCTTCCTTCTTTCCTTCCTTCCTTCCTTCCCTCCCTCCCTTCCTCCCTTCTGATTTTTTCCCCTTCTGCCCCTCCAGCCGCTGACCCGCAAGCAGGCCATCAACCGGAGCCGTTCCTCCATCAACATGAAAAACTTCCGCAAATTCAACGCTCGCCGGAAGTGGAAGGTGAAGGGGCCGTCCCCCATTCCGCCCCGGGGCTCAGCAGCGGGGCAGCCAACCTGGCACCCCCAGACCTGCCTCATGGGCCACGTAGTCCGAGCCTCACCCTCTCTCCTCCCTCCCCAGCTGTCCTACCACATGGTCTCGGCCTGCAACCGTCTCTGCCGCCTGGGGCTCCTGTGCCAGAAGCAGAAGACGGAGGAGGAGGCGACGGCCCTGGTGGGTGCAGAGGAGCCCCTTCGCGGCCTCGGGGTGGTGGTGGTGGTGGAGGAGCAGGGGGGGCTCCTTGCCCCCTGACCTTCTCGCCTGCCTTGCTCCCTGCAGCGGGACTGCGAGAGTGACCAGGAAGACCAACCCAGCAGCCCGGTGGTCTTGCTGCGCAGGCGTCGGAGCATCTGCTCCTGAGTTCGTGCATCGGCTCCCGTCCACCTGCCCTCCGTCCTTTGCCCATGCTCAGAGGCCAGGATGGCAGCGTCCTGTCCGGTCACAGGTGGGAGGAGGCAATGCCTGCTCTTCTGAATGGCCACAAGGGAGAGCGGGGGGGGGCTTCAGCTGCTCGGCACAGTGGGAGGAGGGTCCTTCCCTGTCCCCCCCCCCTCAGATCACCTGAGCTCCTTCCCCTCCTCTTCAGCATTTCACTTCTTGACCTGCCAGGGAGGGGCTGCTGAGTGCTGCCCCACGCACACCCCAGCAAGCCTGCCATGGACGGGGGGGGGCAGCCTCACGGGGGTCCACGAGAGGCATGGCGGCTGCCTTTTGAGAGGGGAGAGTTTGAAGATTCCCCGATGGGGCGTCCGATGGGTCTCTGCTCTCCTTGACCCGTGTTTACGTGGTTGTGGGGAGAGACCCTTTTAATGCAACGGGGAGGGCCCCTCGCTGTTCCCCCCACTCCTCCCCACCGGGGTTCCCCCTGCTTCGTTTGGAGAACAGTCCTCAAGCATCTGACCAAGGACAGCCTTGGGCAAGTGCCTGACTGTTGTAATTTTTTTTTTTTTTTTTTAAATACATATTGCCAAAAGGGAACAAACACCATTTGAAGGTGTTGCGTGTTGTATTTTGTGGTTTTGTGTTTCACTGGTTCGAGTTCAAATTGCACAGCGATCAGGTGGTTGAGTGTGATTGATGCAAGGACCCAAGAAGTCCCTCCTCCCCCCAAGGTGTCGTCGTCTTCTTCTTCTTCTTCTTCTTCTTCTTCTTCTTCTTCTTCTTCTTCTTCTTCTTCTTCTTCTTCTTCTTCTTCTTCTTCTTCTTCTTCTTCTTCTTCTTCTTCTTCTTCTTCTTCTTCTTCTTCTTCT